TGCTCCTGGATAGCGCTGCTCCAACCGGCGCTCCAACCAGTGTGTCGCCAAACTTGCACACCGAGAATGAGGCCGGCCTCTTCGCCCGGCTGGGAGATATAGCGGCCTGCTTGCCTCTTCGGGCGTTGACTTCCAGGCCGCTCGGCCTTCCAAGCAACCAGTACCTCCTCCCTTTCGGAGGGAAACTTCATTGCAGACTCTGAGATTGCCCGTACAGGCCCTAGACCCAGACTGGCTGGACTGGTATCTGCCTAGACCTAACCTACAACTACTGGGCCTCTAAAAATGCCACTTTTGTCTTCTCCTTGGCCTCCAGTACCCGCACGTCTACCTCTTCAAGGTGCGGTACCGGCCTACCCGCTACTTGACTGTTTTTCCTGCTGCAATCTCTCAATGTCACGACCACAGGCAAGTACCGGCCCGGAGGGCCCAATGAACGAGCAAGTGCCCTTGCGGGCCACACACACACTCAAGCCAACCAGCACTCAGACAGGCACGGCCACACACACACTCAAGCCAACCAGCACTCAAACAGACATGCAGTCCAGCAAGCGTGCACACACAGACTTAGTAGCAGGCGGGAAACTCAGCAAGGCATTCAGTCTATGGGCAAAACTCATAAATTAGTCGTGTGTTTCTGCCCATGTTTGGACGGGTCATCACACTACCCCCCCCTCAAGAGCGAGGTCCCTTCGAGCGAGTAACTCGTTCTGAGTCCTCGACAAACGCATCGTAAGCAAGCAAGGCAAAGAGGTTCCTAGAATACTCCGTCGCAGTGAGCCTTGCGAATATCTTAGGAGAAGCGTTAGCCGCAATTTGTCGCTCGTAGGTTTTAATAACGGGTGGTGCGTTGCGTAGCAGTTCCTGCTTGGAAATCCAGTACAGATCGTCCAACGGGTGATACATGAAGTGAACCCGGTACTGTCTGTTGCGTCCCTTCCCTACGTGTTGTTTAATTATGTCTATCTCATGCCCACCTTTGATTGCATGAGGGATCATGTCTTCACGATAATCGAACGTCTTAGCGTCACGGTGGAGGTACAACTTTGATGTGTGGAAAACGAGGTACGTGCGCAGATGGGCTGGCACATCAACTACGTACGAAGGGCCAAAGTGATCTTCGCCAATCACATCCAAAACTTCCCACGGACCATAGTAGAGTGGGAGAAGTTTGCGAGAGACTCCCTCTTCTTGTGAAAATTCAGACATCTTGACCCAGACATCGTTTCCTACCTGAATATCCGATGGTCGGCGCCTCTTGTTTGCATGATGGATTATGGCGTGCTGTCGCTTGGTCATTGTTGCAATGACAACCTTGAACAAGCGATCATACTTGGCCCTGAAGCCAGGCCTGACGGGTGTTAAGCCAGCTGACTGCTCAGGGAATAGGTAGGAGAGCAGATTACGGATCTGCCAACTGTAATGCAACATGTTGGGTGTCATGTCGGTCGCAGAATGGACGGAGTTGTTGTACAACCCCTTTACGGAATACAACCCCCTTTACGGAATACAACTCTTCATCCCAGGTTTCCTGATCCGGAATAATCAAGGCGCGGAGAAGTTGAAACATAGTCTGGTTGATCTCCTCGGCCAAACCATTGGCTTCGGGGTGTCAGCCAGATGTCATACACAGCCTGATCCCTAGTTGGGACGTGAAATCCTTCCATTCAATACTAATGAAGCGCGGATCCCGATCGCTCACAAGAGTCTTCGGGGTTCCGAACTGTAGAATGTACTTCGGTTGGAACTCACGGATCACTAATTATATTAGAGCGTGAGGTGGCAAAGGAATCAGATTAAGGAACTTAGAGAATCGGTCAACAATCACCATGACTTGTGAGTAGCCGTTCTTACTTACCTTTCCCATGTCGGTGAAGTCGATGGAAACGGACTCCCCGGGACCATCGGGAATGGGAAGGGGTGTGAGTAGCCCCATGGGCTTTTGTCTGCATGGTTTGATTCGTTGACAGACTTGACATTCAGCCACAAACTTTTCGGCAATCCCGTTTATGTGAGGCCAATCAAACTGTCTCAACAAATTTGCGTACGTCTTTGTCATGCTTAAGTGTCCGCTCCGGCCATGAGCCAAATCCAAAAAGTGTGTGCGGAGAGGCTCATGGTTGGGCACACACAAACGGTCGTGGTTCCTGTAGCGACGGAAAATCAGTCCTCCATACTCATGAAAATTGGGCTGACTACTAGGATCAGCCCGCAGCCGCTCAAGGATGGGACTAAGTTCCGGATCCTTGGCTGTATGCTCTACGAGCTGCTCCTTCAGTTTCTTCTGCAGGTCGTGGGATTTCACAAGGCAAGTCATGTACTCAGGGTGGCGAGACAAAGCATCAGCTACTCGGTTATAACAACCCTTTTTGTGCCTTAGTTCGAAGTCATAGATGTCAATTCCATGGAACCAGCGAAGTAATGTAGGGGATAGGGTAGTTTGCTCTTTAATCCACTTCAGAGTCCCATGATCTGATAACACTTTGAAGTGGTCTCCCAAAAGATAGTGCTTCCAATGGTCCAAAGCCATACGCAAAGCATAGAGCCCGCGCATGTGGGTGGAAGTGGCTACCTTTTCGTTGGGCATGCGTTTGCTGTAATATTCAAACGGCCACAAGCCATCGCCGTCATCTTGCTGCAGCACTGCGCCAATTCCATACTGACTTGCATTCGTAGTAACTACGAATGTCAGTTTGGGATTTACAATGCGGAGTACTGGGTAACTTACCAAGGCTTCTTTCAAAGCTCAAAAGGCGTCCTTGCATGCGGTGTTCCAAGAGTAGGGAACATTCTTACTTGTTAACCGGGACAACGGGCGAGCAACAATCGAGAAGCGGGGCACAAACTTCCACTAGTATGACTCGAGACCAAGGAAAGAGTGCAGTTCACGGATGTTCGCGGGCTGAGGCTAATTGCGTATGACTTCAACCTTGGTATCCTCAGGCTCTAGGCCTGCAGCAGACAACCGATGCCCAAGATAGATGACGCTATCCTTCCCAAACTCAGATTTCTCTAGGTTGAGATGGAGTTGCGGCTTCTTGAGGATAGTGAGCACTTCCTTGAGGTACTTGAGGTGTTCCTCCATGGATTTGTTGAAGATTAGTATATCATCGAGGTATACCATCACGAACCGGCTAATCTGTTTGCAGAGGACCTTGTCCATGAGGCTTTGGAAGGTGGTCGGTGCATTCGTGAGACTGAAGGGCATTACGGTAAACTCCTAAAGCCCATCGCGTGTTTTGAACGCAGTCTTGTGCTGGTCCACAGGATGGAGTTCAATCTGGTGGTAGCCAGACTTTAGATCGATCTTGGAAAAGACCTTGCACCCACCTGCAGCATCAAGCAAGTCATCTATGCGGGGCAATGGATAGACAGTCTTTCTTGTGATGCGGTTTGGACTACGATAGTCAATACACATGCGGAGTTTGCTTCCTTTCTTCGGAACAAACAAAACAGGAGCACCAAATTCAGACTCACTAGGCTTGATCCACCCTTTGTCAATCATTTCGTCAATCTGTTGCCGGATTTCCTCCAACTCCCCGGGTCCCATTCGGTATACGCAGCCCTTTGGAGGAACAACACCCTCGACCAATTCGATGGTGTGTCGGACCGATCACGTGGGGACTCCACGTGGCTCGGCCAGAACTTCTGGGAACCGATCGAGTAGGTTTTGGATGTTTGGTGGAACCGGTGGGGTTGGAGGATCAACAAAGGGATCACCTAGATCAGGTCGTAGGTTGCGAATAAAGGCGACTGAATCTGAAGTAGGATCATTTGGACTAATAGAAGGTAGAGAAGTAGAGGTGTTAGGAGTAGAAGTACTAGAAGTAGAATCACTAGCTGTAGTAGTAGTAGTATTAACCGCAAAAGTAGATGGCACGTGGGAAGGACGAACAAAGGCAACATACAACTTTTTGTCCTCTTTGTGCTTGCGCTATTTCTTGGAGAACTTCATAGCATTCAGAAAAGTCATTGGGGACTCGTGCTTCTCATCTAGGAGGATGGGAAGCTCATTCCCTTGAGCATCTTTGACCATCAAAAGTGACTCCTTCCACTTGGTCCATTCCCATTGGGACTGCAGCCAGCCCAAGCCAAGGACAGCGTCGAAGGGGTACTTGTCAAGGACATAGAAGTTAGACGCGTGGGTGACAGTTTTGTTCTTGTCAAAGGTAGTGCGCACACCTTTGACTGCATGCGTAGAAGAGACAACTTCTTTGTTGCCAACTTGGGTTCGGCAAGGGTTTTGCAAGGCCACTTGCTTCATTCCCAAGCCCACTTTGCGTATCTCATGACGTGACATAAAGTTAGTCGTAGCACCACAGTCAATCAAGACGCGGAGATAGCGGTGGTTTATGAGATGTTTGAAGAAGCTCAACTTCACTGTCCCTTGGGCACGCTGTTGTTTCATCTCAGCCCAATGCTCCAAGCGGTAGTGGAAGTCAACCGTCCCAAACTCCTCCCAAGGCTCGACGTACAAAACATTGCACACTTCAGCCTTGGCTTCAATAGCTGATTGGGCTTCAAGGGAGGGTTGCTGATTTGTATCAGATCCAGTCTCCCTTGCTGTAAAGTGTGCTGAAATCGACTCTACGCCTGGGTCTGGTTTCCTTGCAGCCTATAGCAATCATGTACCTTATGGTTCGGTTTCTGGCAATGCAAGCATATCCCCTCGGTCTACCCCGCCAGTCATTTTCAGTGATCTGGAGATCGACCCACGGTTTAGTGGCCGCATCCTCCGGTTTTGCTGGGATTTTGACTCCCTTGGGAAGTTGGACCTAACTCTTCCCGCATTCAGATTCGATCCCTTTGCATTGGCAGTTTTTTTAAAGGCAGTAAATTTTTCCTCTTCTTGGTTTACATCAGGCTCATGGGCTGACGAACAGGCTGTATCAGTGTCCTGCTCTTGGTCGTCACCAAGAGTGGGGTCATCTGCATCGAGCTCCTCTTCAGCCTCCAGCAGGTCATGCACCGCAAAACGGTTGTTGCCTTTGAACCGCCTGCCGCCCATGGGCTTTTTGTTGCCTGTTGTGGAAACGAGGTCTATCGCCTCGAGACTGACTATGTTCTTCCTCAAAGTGAACCAGTAGTGTACCCAATGAAGTCACTGCCTAGGCGATTTGTGAAACTGGTGGGAACCGCGCCTTTGACCACATCCAAGCAAGATTGATCAGTCAGTTCTAATTCGGGTGTAGCAAACATCTTGCTGAGGTAAGTCTGGAGGGTTTTCATGGAGCCCGTCCACTTGCTGCATTTGATTTTGTTAAGCTGGCTTTTTGCCATTGCTGCAACGTGTGGATGCATGTATTGCGCAATGAGGAGTTCCTCGAGGGAAGCAACCAGGATGGCCTTAAGCCACCTTGTTCTTTCTATCTTTGGAACCCCATCTCGCGTACCTTGGACTTCTAGGAAGCCCCGTACAACAGGCTCGACATTCATTCCCATGATCGTGGACTGGGTCTCAGGTTGAGTCCCCAGAACCTCAAAGTATGCCCTCATGGAGTTGATCCAGGATTCAACGTTTTCTTTGCTGTCATACTTCGACGGTATTTGCACTGCCTTTCGATCCACGTAGGGACCGGCGTAGCCGGGACCAGCACCTGCTGGTTCAGATCTTGGGGCTGCAGCAGTTGCAAAATTTCCTGCCTCGTTGCTTGTTACAGCAACAACGGAATCTGCACCTGTGGCAGGTCCCGAGGGGTTTGCCATCACACTCAAGGAAGAAGTAGAAGAAGATATGGTAAAAGGGGCAAGGTTAGTTACAACTGCAGCTCCGGAACCAGGGGGCAGAGGGAGAGGATTGGCCGCTTGGGCTTGTTGCAGCGCAGCAACCTCTACCATCAAGTCACAGTACTTGGTGGTCATCTCTGTCAGATCCTCCTGAAGTGTCCGCAATTTTGCGAAGACGTCAGCGATCTGAGTGGTATGATCTTCAAGGCTCCAGACTTTGACAATAGCGGTGAGTATGGACTGCAGTTGTTCCCCCCACTGCTCTTTGGTCAGCGAGGGGAGAGTTTCCAAGATGGCCTCCTGACTTTTCAGCAGCAGTTCCTTCCTTTCCTTTTCTGTCCCTTGTTCTTTTTTTATGGCACTATCCAAGAGTGCTTGCAGATACGGTTTCTCCGCATCGCTGGCTACATCTAACAGGGCCTTCCACTGGACTGAGGTTAGTCGTGGCTGGGCCATTTTCGGACCATTGTCGTCGGCAGGTGGATCGGAGAGAGCCCAATCACCAAAAGAATCAATCGGACTCTCAAGAGGTACACTCCCCTTTTCGCGTGGACGAACACTCTGTTTCCAAGTCCTTGCCCACCCCAGACAGTCACTTTCCCTCTCTTCCTTTTCTCTCTCCCTCTTCTCTCTCTCTTCTTTCTGGTTGTGAGTCTCCACGGGCATCGGAAATGAACTCAGAGAAACAGACTGAAAAGCTCAGAGAAGAGAAGGTAGAACTCCTAGCTGGAGCGGCATTTCATTTGGACTTCGAGAGCAGCAAACCAAAGAAAAGCAAACAAATTCACATGAGAGGTCTGATCCAGCGACCTAGTCTGATCAGACTGCATACAAGGTCCTCTCGAGTCCAGTCTGACCATCTCCGTGACCGTGCAACAAATCAGACAATGAGTGACTAAATGCAACAATGGAGAATTGAGTGGTGTACAGGGTGCGAGTCAAGCCATGGACGGTGCAACCAAAAGCATGCGAAACGTCTCAGCCGAGTTCCCCTCGGCAGTGAGTGTCCTAGCCAACAAGAATAGAAGTCCGAACCTCAGTCAGGAAGACGATGGACTAATGCCAAACAGATATGGGTCCGAAGGGCTCTTCTTATTTTGGCCCCGTCCCAAAGGTTCCAGAAGTCTCACGTAGGCCGCGACCAGGTCCCAACCAAGAGGAGTCCCACATGGACTCGGTTCAATTTCTACCGCACCGAAAAACGAAATTTCAACTTCTGACAAAACCTACAGACTACAAACGTTCAGAGATGAAAAGACAAAGCATTGTAGAAAGACTCGGCATTCGGATCAAGATACTTCATTTTCCATCCATCCGGTGAGTAGGTAGATCACACACATTCAATCACACAATCAAGACCAGAGAGGAGTAGGAAAAGAAACCCAGAGTAACCCCAGCAGGACAAACCATACCAGGCACATATACATGGGCATCCCGTAGATGCACGACACTTACCTGAGTGGCCTTGAGCTTCGAGATGAATAGAACTTACCCCCCTCTCATGTGATCCTCCCGACCCCTCTAACGCTACCCCTACATTAGTGTCCTATCTCCTAGGAGGGTCTGACTCCAACACCAAAGTGCAACGCCGGATCCCCCGTCGATGCTGAAGAACAAAGTAGCAACTTGCAATCCGTAGATGTTGAGTGGCCGCTGACCCTCAAGCTCGCCTACTTGAGGGCAGCCCTTAAGTTGCCAAGTGTCTCCCTTGAATTAGATTCCAGGTGCAAGTGCCTCCCACTGTCGCCTCTCTCAAATTGTCGCATGAAGTCTCCTCGAAATGTCTCGCCACCCTAATCTCACTCTCAAGCAACCTGGTAAGGTTCAATGTCGACCCCACATGACCTAACCAGGTGGGGGCTGCTTCCCTTAGCCACGCTGCCCCACTTCTCTTACATCCAACCCTAACCCTAAGTTTTGCCCTCAACCACTTAGGTTAGGGTTAGGGCAGCAAAGTCAACTCTCACCAGCAAGTAGAATCCGCTCTGATACCAATGTTATGATCCTGGCCAATTTCGAGATACACATCCATCATATAGTACAATGTCGTCCAATTGCAGAAAGAAATGAATGAACTTGAGAGGAGAGAGAGGATTAGAAAGAGAAGAAGAAGTAAGAAAGAAGAAGAAGATGATGTACACCACCATAGACAAATGACAAGGCTCTTCTTCTTTGCCCAACAATCTCCTCCTCCTTATCTCCCCCTTCTCTTATTCATACAAGAAATAATAATACAATGTTGAATGGCTGATCCAGAACCAATGTCCGATTCCCTCTTCTACTGCAGGTATCACTTGAGGTCCACCATAGCCATGACCGCCTCTCCCACTCTTCACTCTCATAGGCCGAGGCTATGGCAGACTACTAGGCCTTGCCCAGATGCCCAAAGGACAACCCAAAGCAGCTATGGCTGCTCTAGTTCAGGCCGCCATGCCCGACCTTGCCTCAAAGCTTCTTGGTGTAGCTCTCCCCAGTTGGGGACTCCCTGCTACAGCGCCCACCAAGGTGATGAAGATGGCTGCCACCATAGCCAGGTAAGTACCCCTGGCGCTCCTCCCCCTTTCCGTCCTTCTTCCTCCTCCGTGTCCTTCTCCTTCCCTCAGTCGCTGCTCCTGGATAGCACTGCTCCAACCGGCGCTCCAACCAGTGTGTCGCCAAACTTGCACACCGAGAATGAGGCCGGGCTCTTCGCTCGACTAGGAGATATAGCGGCCTGCTTGCCTCTTCGGGCGGTGACTTCCAGGCCGCTCGGCCTTCCAAGCAACGGGTACCTCCTCCCTTTCGGAGGTAAACATCATTGCAGACTTTGATATTGCCCATACAGGCCCTAAACCCAGACTGGCTGGACTGGTATCCGCCTAGACCTAACCTACAACTATTGGGCCTCTAAAAATGCCACTTTTGTCTTCTTCTGCTCGGTCTCCAGTACCCGCACATCTACCTTTTCAAGGTGCGGTACCGGCCTACTCGCTACTTGAGTGTTTTTCCCGCTGCAATCCCTCAATGCCACGGCCACAGGTAAGTACCGGCCCTGAGGGCCCAATGAACGAGCAAGTGCCCTTGCGGGCCACACACACACTCAAGCCAACCAGCACTCAGAAAGGCACGGCCACACACACACTCAAGCCAACCWGCACTCAGACAGACATGCAGTCCAGCAAGTGTGCACACACAAACTTAGTAGCAGGCGGGAAACTCAGCAAGGCATTCAGTCTATGGGGAAAACTCAGAAATCAGCCGTGTGTTTCAGTCCATGTTTGGACGGGTCATCACAACTATAGGAGACAGATGGTGGGAAAACATCGCGATACTCGTGAAGGAGGGCACCAACGCTTGGCGGTAAGGAAGAAAGAAGGGTGTCAAATTCCTTGGCAGCGGTGGCGTCAGACGCAAAGGTGGAGGGAGTCTGTGTGGAGATAGGGACTGAGGGTGTATAAGTGATAAGGGAAGCAAGAAAGTGAGATGGGCTAGCAGGGATAGAGGAAGGTAAGGAAGTTGAGGAATCAGGAGGGTCGGGGGGCTCGGGGGGTGGTGGATCGGGCTCAACCAACTCAATGTCGTGATGTATAGAGTTGCAGGTGAGGAGATCCTTGATGTCGACAACATAAAGTTCGACATCTGGCTGATGAAGCAAGGGGTGGAACTGGGTAGGTGTACAAATGGTGACATTAACAGGGGGAGAAAGTGTAGAGTCCGATTTGCCCAACAACGAAATACGGTATCACTTCTCATCATTGGCGTCGAGGACGTTATCATTGTGGGTCGAATCGCGGCCGGAATGGGCGAACTGGTGGGAGTAGGTAGTGTCGAGAACAAGATCGTATAGGGTTTCCATGATGTTGAAGGTCCACTGGTCATGGAATTAAGGGGCCTTGTGAAGGCTGTGGGGCATCCGCAAGGGGAAGGAGAGTGGAAGATCAGGCACCACACAATCGACGAAGGATTAGGCCTGATTGTCGCCAAGCGTGGCAATGACAATGGAAGGATAAGAGGATGCATAGAGAGATGACTCCTTAATTACACGAGGATGAATGAAGTCGCCAGTAGAGCCAGAGTCCCATAGTGCGCAATACACTCTAGTAGAGGTCCCGTGGCCCACTGGAATAATCGGTAAGGTGTGATGGGGATTGTGTAGGTGCTGAGACATTGTGGACAGGGTGCGCTCTTTAAGGCGGATACGTTCTTCGCGGATCTTAACACACTCGAGGTCCAGGAAGTCAATGATATCCTCGGCTGCAATAAGGGAAGCACTGCAGCGGGTCGTGCGAAAAGCACTCCTGGTACGAGGATGTGGAGAGGGGGGGGGTCACGAGAGATGCTAGGCGAGGAAGGAGAAGGTATACCAGTGTCGGTAGGCTCAGCTAAATATAAGGTCGGAGCAGAGTCATCGAGAAGAGTAGCAAGCGGCGTGAAGGTAGGGGCGCAAACGACTATGGCTGCTACCGTACAAGAGTCAGGGGAATGAGACATTGTGGCTAGATGGGTGTTGCACTGGAGATCAAGACGGGGGGGACAGCCTGAGGGTGAGCCTGTTGTGCGAAGTGACACTGGAGGGCATCTGCGTATGGGCAGGTAGAGGAGGTATGGCCAGCGAGGCGGCAACTGGTGCAAATGCTTTGTGTACGAAGATCCTCACTCGCAGTGATTGTCAAGCGGCTGCAAGGGAACACAAAGCCCGTTGGGAGGGGTAGTCAAGGGACCGTAGAACGAGTCCTGGAGTATGAGGGTTGACGACGGTGGAGGGCGGAAAGGGCCCACACAGAGCGGTCGTACTGGGAAGAGACGCCATCCTCCGCGGGGGACTGAGAGTCGGGTCCCTGATTTAGGTCACTCGCAAAACCATCTGAGGCGGTGTTGTCATCAACGCTCGGCGGATCACGAAAGCAAGGCATGAAAGCGACAAAAGAGGGATCGTTTAGAGCCCCTACGAGGGCCACGTCTCCGACGTCACACGTGGTTAACGATATGGTGTGCACTCTATGGAATGATGCAATTTTTGGTTAAAAAGGCCTTCTGGTTTTCTTATAAATAGCATTCAAAAAACGCTGAAATTTTGGGTCTCCGTTAACCGCCTCTCGTCATACATCACGACATTCCACTGTGTACGAGCCCAAATTCCCATCGATGCCATATCAGAGGACACCATGATCGAACGATTCCGCGCAGGCCTACCCCAACCATTCCAGTTGCAGATGATGACGTATTCGATCCCCACCTTACCAGAGGCTTTCAACATTGCTCGGGCCATCCAGCTCACTTATGCTCCACTCAGCCCCTCGCCTCAGTCCGTCACTGCCCATGCCGCTACTACTGCAGCCCCTTACCCCTCCCAACCTCGATAGCCTTCCACATACCGTCTGTGGAGGGGCGGTTAACGGAGACCCAAAATTTCAGCCTTTTTTGAATGCTATTTATAAGAAAACCAGAAGGCCTTTTTAACCAAAAATTGCATCATTCCATAGATTGCACACCATATTAACAAACCATTAAAAAAAATCGAAAATAAATAAATAAAAACA